TTCCTAGCGCTTTGCCCAGTACAGTTTAAAGCATGTCGAGATACTTGGCTTTAACCATCTCCTTAGGAAAATTATTCCACAGTGCATGAAGAATGTCCTTAGGTCGTTTTTGCTGGTAGACACAGCATGCATTTTTCTTTCCTTAATGATTTCCAGCCGATTATTCCTAGTTATATCCCATTGGGCCATCATGAATAACTCATCTTTACACCTTTGAATAAATGGACACAGATACGTTTCCTACACATCGGTCACTAGTTGGCCAGACTACACACAATTGCACAGCCAAAAAAATACACTATACTGTAATAAAATCAGTCATTCCACCCTTTTAGTCATAGTAGGATAATTGTCTCCACATCAGTGAATATTTTTAGATGATACTCTCAACAAACCTGTCTATTCTTCCTTGCCTTCTGCTACCTTTTGCATCCTCACCAAATGTGTAACATTTTCATGACTTCCCTTCCTTTCCATCTTCTCTCCAACAAAATAGGCCTATTAAACTAGCTTAATTTTGACAAACATAAGTATTGTTAAATAGTTTAAAACATAAATTATTAGGAATCAGAAGGTTTTTAAGCATCTCAGATTTCAAAGTATTTCTTTGTCCTCATTTCACTTGATTCTTCCTTTTTTTTTTATCAGTTACTTCCTTCATTACTTTTACTTCATTAAAATTTCAGATTAACTCAATAACATTTTTCATATGACCTTTAACATTAAGGTTGTATATTGTAATTTCTACTACCATACCTACATCACCAACTTTGCAAAAAAACTAGTAAGATGAGATATACCCAGAAAAACGAACACATAGAAATTAAGAAACATGTCAGGAAAGAAAAGATTAGGCAAGGCATGAGGAAGAGCTGAAGAAATAGTGATGTTAAAATTATATGCTCAGTACCAGGAGCACAGAGAACATTGCGGCCATCCTGAGTACACACATTCAGGCTTTAGAAATAAAGCATAACGGCTTAAATAAAGAAATAACAATGGAGCAAATATTGCTATGCCATTAAATCTTTTCCTCACCAACAAGAACACCTGCCATTGAGGGTGATAGGTCAGAATTATTAGTTCCAAATTCCCTGCTTTGTCATGACAGCATTTCAAGGATCCTTACGGATATCCCAATCACTACATTAGCAGGCCAAAAAGCCAAAATCAAACAAAACCTCTGGCAAACACATCAACGATGACTCCTTATTATAATAGAATCTACAAGCTAAGAGATACAACCTTTGAACCACTCATTACTATTTTTATTATTTAGTGTAGTCTGAAAACATCTTTGTCTTTCAAATCATCTTTGCAAGCATTGGTGTGCACATGCATAGTCTTAACTCTTCTGCAAGGCCCTCTCTTCTGCTTCCCTTTGAAAAGACACTGCACTAAACCTTCAATGTTCAAGTAAGAGAATCACATTCATCAATTATTGTTTAGCCTATTTAATCTGCTGTCAGTCTGACGATGCCAGTGAAATACATTCACTTCCCAGTTTTGAACAGATGTCCTCTTTTTTATTTTTTATTTTTAATAAAAAAGCTGGAATATTGAAACATATTGTTCTTTGAAATGAAATAATAGAAAAGATCTTCACAGTGTTTACAAACTTTATTCTAACAATGCTTACAATGAAGAAAGCATTGTATCAGGAATAAAAAAGCCATTTCACCAACTGTACTTTAGACAATGAACATTTTGTATACTGAATTAAAGAGAGAAATGTTACACTAACATTAGTGAAACCACTAGTAAAGTTTGCTCTGGATTACAAGGTGAAAATCTGTATGATATTGCCAGTGAAATCAGTGGAAGGACAAACGCAATGCAATTCTTAAAGGCTAAATTTAGAACCCTTATTCAGCCAATAGTATCTTCACCGCCAACAGAAGTCAGTTTTAAATATGCTTCTGTGATAATGTGTGGTTTAGAAACCTTTTATACATATAAAGATGCAGAATCCAATCTGTGCAAAAAGATAAATGTACTCCTCCAGGTTTGAAAAACCAACCAACCAATCAAAACAACAAAAAAACCCCAAAATAACAGATTTTGAAGATGTTCCCTCATTTGTTATATGCTCACAAAGAGCTCACAAATCAGGGCAGCACTGGGAACTGCGACACAACTTTCTCATGTGGACCTGCAAGAGATCCTAATCGAAGGGTAAAGCGATTGCTATCTCTAGACAGCATTAGCAACATAATCTGCATGCAACTACAGGGATAAGAAGTATTTTCCAAAGTCAGTTAATACAAAATAACTTGGTGCATCAATTTCCAGTAATGCGTCCTGACTGTAAGCTGCAAGTAAATGCTGTAGATGAATCATATGAAGTAGATGTGTCTACTGCACTGGTGCACCAGTCATCTGAAAAAGATCAAGGGAAAGAATCTTTCAGGGGTAAGGGCTGCAAACAAGCCACTAAAATCTGGCACTAACACTAGGCTTTAAGATATTTTGTTTGCAATGTCAAGACAGGACTGAAATCACTACTATTTCTCCATAAGGTTTATAGCCCAAGCAATATTCAAAATATTTAGTTTGAGAAATAACTTGTTCACAGTGCAGATGAACATTAACATCCATCAGGCAACACCCAAATACCTAAAAACACAAGTGGAATTGTCTGCCAATAACAGCTAGTAAACAGATAGATCTAAAGACAACAGCTCAGGCATGCTGCTTTCTCTTCCTCCTCACTGCATCCCACAAACGCCCTCCCTCACACTCCTGCCAACTCTACAGCAACAGAATAATTCCTGCCAATTTCTCGAGAGCTAAGCATACTTCTCCATTTAGTGTTTTGTCTGAAGGCCAACAATCCAGTCAGGACATTCAAAAACACCCCAAAGACTTGATGTGTTAGGTCCTGAAAGATGGAAATAACAAAGCATAACATAAAATCTCTTTCCAATACACTTCTCCATATTTCTAGCAACTGCCCACTTCAAACACGGCTAGTACAGAGCACTCCTTAGCATTCAAAAACATATGATGGACTAGAAAGCTGAATCTCAGTTCTTCACCCATCCTTCAGAATATCATTCAATCTGTAACTGACACTGAACACCAAATAACTTGTGTTCAGATAAACCACTAATGCCAAAAGGGCAATTTGTATTCAGACCAGTCCACTGTATGTTATATTAAACCCAGCCACAACATTACCATTTTCTCAAGGAATGAAACTCTCAAGACAGGTTGTTTGGGATCAAACTTTTCTTTCATTCTTTGGAGTTACAGTAGTCTTAAAGCAAAACCTCATAGTTAAAAACCAATTACAGAGATTTCTAAAAGGTAAATAATTCCCTTGGGTAAACACTGTATCTGGGGGAAAGGGATTGAAAAGAACCACAGAAAAGATGTCAGAATTGCCCAACCGATAAGTAGAAGGCCATGCTGTGTTTAGAAAAGGATCAGACAGATATATAATCCACCCACAACATACTTCTTTCCTGTGGTTTTTATTCCCAGGCTGACAAGTTATCTAACTTTATAAAAAAAAAGGATTAATATTTTATCTGAGAAGCAAGAATCTTGTCTTCCCCATTATCTTTTTCAATATTGCCTACCTTAGTCTTCCAACTTTCTGTTCACATTAGAATTTGAATGAAAATTTTGGCTTCTAGTGCATAGCCAAATCCTGCCTTAGTTTTCAGTTGAAAATTAAAAAGATGGTTAGTTTTTGCTCCTCACCCACACTCATCTTCATGAGCTGAAATTCAGGCCATGCTCTTCCTAGCTTGTGCATCATACCTCTTACAAATTCTGAAAGGCTACATTCTCTCTTACCCTTCGCATTTTTATCCTCTTTCAAATATAACTATCTGAATTACCTCATTAAAGACAGGAAAATGAAGAATTCTCATGATGCCACTAATATCAAATTTTAGAATGTATAGTAGATACCCCAAGATTTTCCCACACAAAATGGGGTTTCCTCACCTTCTAATTCTAGGGGGTTTAGAGAAGAATTCAGCGATGGTTCTGTTTTCAAAACATTAATTTTGTGCTTCTGCTTTCCTCTCTCCACAAAATAAAAGACCTCTCTGCTCTATATTATTTCCTACAAGAGATGAAATACTCAGAGATCAGTAACTAGCAACTTCAAGAATATACAAGCATCACCGACACTCTTCAACTGTTACAAAACCAGAGGAAAGCTCTTTTTTTCCTGACAATTAGATCCTTTATTCCCCTCTTCATTATTTCCTTGTAAATTAATGAAAAAAGCAGCAGAACTGCTTAATGGTAACTAAACAGTCTAAAAAAAATGGATGGAGACTGAAGAGATGTGAATACCTGCATAAAAATACAACTTTACAAAAGAAGTTAAATTAAAAGGACCATTGTACCATATCACATGAAAGGTCAGTTTCTTCAGGTTTAACACAAAAGCATATTCTTAGATCTCAAAAATATTTCTACAATAACACACATTTCTTAAAAACAAAAAGAATGCTGTACATGTAGCAAAGAAAGCAACTTTTACCAGCAAGGGTACAAACTGATGGCTGAAATTGCAAACAAAGAGACAACATGTCCAATATCAGGCAAACTGTTAATGAAGACTTACCTCCAGAAACTGGGGCATCCATGAAAACGGCTCCCATTTTTTCAACTGCTTTGGCTAATTCTTTTGAAACTGCAGGGTCTATAGTGCTGGAATCTATTAGCAATGAGCCTTTCTTCACTTTCCTAAAATTAAGATTTATTGTTAAGTATTTGTTGCACAAAACATCTGCAACTATTACCATGGTGCTGACCTTCTTCAGCATGATAAACATACAGACACTTTTCAGTACACTAATAAACAGAAAGTTTTAAACTTTACTGAGCAAGGTCTGCTCAGTATGTGTACTACTGAGTATGTATACCACAGTTTTGAACTACTCAAAACACAATAAAACCTGAACACAAAAAAGGATAAGAATCCTAAACACTATTATTAAAAAAATTACACAAAAAAGGCACCTTAGGAAAACTTGCCATAGAATCATAGAATGGTTAGAGTTGGAAAGGACATGAAGATCATCTAGTTTCAGCAGTATATCATATAAGGATCATCTAAGATGTATTGCAAACAACTGAACTAAATGTCGAAACTGCCTAAAATTTCGTATATATACCAATACAGTTTTTCTTTCTATATATATACAATATCGTAAGTACTTATCAGAATAGCCTGATTGCATTCTTTTAATCATTGCTAAAATTTATTCAACATAAAGATCATAACTAACTCCACAAAAACCCACTGCAGTTTTAAAGTGAAGCAGGGGGAAAAATATTAAGTTTTCCCACTGAGAGGCAGTAAATTTAGGCAGAAGAATTATACCCCAAACTGTAGAACACAAGAAGTTGTGTATGTGTTCAAAAAATGCAATTAAAGTAAAATTTTCCAAGGCCCTCAACAATTAAAAAAAAAAAAATTATATTTTTATCCCTCTTTCCATTCAATTGCACCATAACTTCATGTCCACTGGATCAGCAACTACCATGAAATCAAACAGCATAGGTTTTTCTTTGTCATAAAAAGGCAATTAAATTGAAGCTATGCATAACAGATGAAGAGGTTCGCTGCACCTTGTGTGCTCTGGACAGTACAGTGAATTCCACTGAATCAAATTGCCTAGATTGCTGGAAATAGTCTCTGAATATATACATACAATTGTGGACCCCACTGTAGCTTCAGATTCAAATAGTGCCACATACACAGAACCTGTTCTTTTTCACAGGATGGATGAGCTGCTGCAGTTAGTTTGAACACATGCAAATGAAAACCAGCATGGCAGATACAGTTCTACATCATCTCCCCTAATGTTCGGAACAAGGAGCAGTTGCACAGGCTCCTTGGTAACACAGCAGGATGACTGAGTTAACCCTTAAGCAGTCAGAGCATCAGTGTTTTCTTCAGTAGATGAAGAAACCTACTTCTTCAGAAAATGATCAAAGTCAAACCAGTCACCAAGGACCAGGTCACTCTAGTGTGACAATTAACCACTACTGTCAAATTACACTTTCGTCTCTTGAATAGTGGCTGAGAAACTGCAGCAACATAGGACTGCTTTCCACATTCCCTGTTACCCCTGCACTGTTTTCCACATCTAGGTCCTCAAAAGATTAACTGGCTGTATTACATCAGTAAGTACTGCAAAGTCTTCAAAGCACTGCCATCCTGGATACAATTCTCCTGCAGCTGTTTGCCCAGCGTTGTGGGACTGATCCAATTGCCCTTCTTCCCTGAAGAGTCTAAGTTATGGATACTTAGATCTGCTCAGTCCTACTTGGTGAGGAATTAACTACAGTAAGGGAAGGAAACAATTATTATTTCCTATATTGCAAGAAGAATAGAAATTCTCCTCCTCTACTTCACTTTATTATCAGACCACCTTAATATTGCCTATACTCCACACCTAAAAAAGGTATCATTTGTTTTAGACAATCTACTGTATTTTTGTCTTCTGTATGTTTCTTCCTTTACATTATTAACCTGGATAGCTGTAAGATCCTACATGATCCTCAGAGGTATTGAGTAGCCTTAAGTCAGCCTGCCAGGAGCAGTGCATATGTGGTGAGAAAAGCCTTTTAAATACTATTTTTTTTTTAATTTGACAAGTCCAAAAACTGTATTAGAATTCTGCAAACTATGGATTTTAGGCTCAGTGGAAATCTCTCCACAAAAGTTAAAAAACAGTCTTGCATTAAACAAACTCTTCAGATAATTTCTTGTGTAATAAACAGATAGTAGGAGTAGAAATCAATAAAGCCTTGTCAGTTATTCCATGTTAATGCACTTTAGTACCATGATACACAATGGCATCTCCTCAGAACATTTCATTTACAGGATTTTAAGTTAAAGAAAGAAGCATTTGAGCAAATAATTGTTGCCAGCAAATATTCTAGTTATACTTGTCTGTAGTATATTACAGTAAAAGAAAACATGCAACTGAGAAGGTAGATAATACTTAAGTTGCCTCAAATTCAACTGAGTTGTAATTCTACTGAAAATAAATTAAGACTTTAGCTAAAAGCCATTCAAACGCAAACACAGGTTAAGAGAACTCATACAATTAGAAATATCAATAGTGACAAAGCAGAGGAGAACATTAAGTGCCCTGAAGGCACAGCAAGAGTTACAGCAACAGTGATCATTTGACAATGTAATACAGTCTTGAGTAGGACTGGGAATGCTCCGAACGGCAAAAAAAAATCTTACTTTAGAATTCCATTTGCTCCTGTGTAAACTTCTTTTGCATTGGGACTTGAAGGCAGCATGGTAATAATTCTGTCTGCTCTTTCTGCTACATCTGCTGGGGATTCTGTTACCTTTTAAAGGAAAAAAAAAAACCAAAACATATTAAAATTATGCAAGCTTACACTTCCTAAAAAAGAGATGTCAGACACATTTGCTGAGTTTGCTTTTAGTATTCACAGGGCACTGGTCACAACTAAGCTAGATAAAAAAATAGAACACAAGAAAACCTGCCCTCCTAATGGAAATGTTTGTTAATTGGATCCAGTAACAGAAAACCAAAAAAATCTGAAAAGGATGTCCTATCACAGAAGTTTCTCCAGAACATCTGTCAATACTTGCATCCCACCAGTCCATTCATGAATCTTCAATTCACTATAAACAAGCCATCTATACGAAATATTGCTCTATAACGTTTCTAAGGAAGAACAATGTGAAAAATCACAAAAATCTTACTTTTTTTCTTGTCTTATATACAGCATTGGAAGAGATGAAGACTGAGGTAGAAGAAAAAATTACTTAATGCACCTTTGACCTTAAAAAACCAATGATGAACTAACTGATGTTTCTCCCAGTATTACAGTTGACATTTTTAAAAAGGAAAATTATCAACTCAAGCATCCTTCTTGATCTGAAGATCTGAACAAGTTTCAAAATATATCATTAGGTATTGGCTGTTAAATAAACAATAGATCGATGACCTAGTTTCACCATTCCTTATCTATTTATAACTACAGGCATTTGTTATAATTTTTGTTAGTTTTGATACTAAATGTCTTTACGTAAATATATTCTCTTTTTAGAGACAATGCATTTATAAGGGCTCAGCATCAAAGAAAGCATGTTATATACATATTTGTAAGAAATGCTGAATGAAATCTTGAAGGACTTCTGGGATACAGCATGAGAAACTTTCTTGACTTTTATTTGACTATAAAATAAGTAAAAGAAGGGAAGAATGTATATATTCACTGAACAAAGCTTACTCTCTCAGAAAGAAAAAAGAAAAGAGACTGGCATAGATGGGACTTAGGGCCAGGTTTTGTTTTGAAAGAATAAGTTAATACTACACAAAACATCTGGTATACCACACACTTATAAAAGGAAACATATCCTAGCCTAAAGAACAAAGCTTAGGAGGAATAAATGAGGCAATTATAAGCAGAAAAGCTTCTATATCTGACTAGTTAATTTTATGACTTGCTTCCCTGGAGACCGGAGAGCCTAGCTCTTTATAGAAGAGTATGAAACCTTTGTCTTTAGTTCCGAGTACCTCTGGTTTGGTTCAGTCCCAATGTGTATTACTAGAGGAAGAGAGAGGATGTGTGTAATTGGATCCTGCATTTATATACATCTTCTTATTTGAAACTATTATCTCCAGTAATCTCAGAGGTTTACAAGTTACCAGCTGAAGACTCTGTGACCTATTTTCACCTTTTGCCCAGAAGCTGAAAAACATACTGTATTGGGCACACAACTTAAAAACTACATCAGCCTCACATTTGCACTTGGCTAGATAGATAGGATATAGCTGGTTTTTTGGTTACAGGTTTAAACAATCCTTAAGCAACAGAGATAAACAGAAGACACAGTTGTGTCTTTAGTTTTTCTATCTATGTCTTTCAAAATACTGACATGTCTTTTATAGGAAGAAAATGAGATTAAAAATGTGCATAGACTGGGATGATACTTCCACAACCACACAAAGGAAAATCATTTTGCTACCTTGAAGTAAATAGCAAAAAAGAGTGGGAATTGCCATTCTCGGCTTTTATGGTACTGTTAACAAATACGATTAATAATCCCAGAGGAAACCTATCTACCTGGTTCAACAAGCAATGTAAACAGCCTTTTATATTTTATTTGGGACTTCCTGTCTCAGAAATCAAGTTAAATTATTTGAAAGCTATTAAGAAACATTAAGCATTTGAAATAATTAAGAATATGTGTGTAACTTTAAGAACCATACCAAATACTAATTGCTGATTACTAACATAGAGCATACTGGCTTGGAGTAGCAGCTCACCAAGTTCCGTACATGTTCTGACACTTGCCAGTTCAAGCAAAATTTTTTAGTTTGCAACTGGACAGGGGAGACTTTTCTTCAACTGGACATTGGTTTATGCCCTTCAGCATGTGCATCTGCTTATATTTGTTCCAAAATGCTTTCCTATTTTTTATTTATATTTATGATAAGTCAGTTAATAATTCAGCTTGCCTGAAATGCCATTTTTACTGAATACACTGAAGAAAGCTCTATTTTTATGGTGCTTTATGCATCAGATGACTTCAGTATCATTCTCAAACTGTCAAATAGATACATAAACTGAAGCAAAGCAACTGTGTGACACATGTGTAAGAGAGAAAGTGATAATTATGAGGAAGGGGAAAGACAGTAGAGTGTGGAGGCAGCCTACTTGCTCACAGCACGGTTCAGTATTCACCCTTGTTTGTAGCCTTGCAGCTTTCTCCAAGTTTCACCGCAAGTGGTTCCATATGCTCCTGCTCAGCCAGTTTTCCCCTTACTGTTCACCATCAGCAGGCAGGTGGCTGCCTCCTCACATACATTACCTCCAAGTTCTTTACTTTAGAGGGTAAAGAAAGTGGAGTCACAGAATATGCAGAATTACGATCAAGCATCCCTCACCCTCCATATACCTTGGTAGTAGCACTGGCTTTAAAAATGGACATCTGACAACATTTACTGTCTCTTGGGGGGAATCCTTTCACCTCTGTAACACTCTTGATGATTTTACCCTACCAGCCAGACTAAAGAGAAAGCAGCCCTTGGAGCCCAATATTCCTTCTACAGCTCTTTCTACAAGGCCCCCTGGACCCACAATTTTCCAACTCCTGAAAAAAAATGTCAGGGTAGGATTTACACCTATAGATCAAGAAGAAGAAGTTACGTTTGCATATTTTCTTTACATGTGTTTTATTTGTATTTAAGCCTACCCATGTATTCTCTTAGTGATTTACGATCTTAAAACATACTTCGGGCTTTATTTTTAAAAGCGTTACAGTTTACCTTTAATATCACATGTTAAGTCTTGCAGTGGATGCCAAGGATTCTATTACTATGGCAATAAGCTATCCAAACAGGCAGCCACAGCAAAGAGATCCTGCTGCAGAATATGGATTAAAAATACAACCAATTGTTTAAAACAGACTTCCTTTCCATTTGCCCAGCCTCTTACTCGAGATGGGTCTGGTTCTGGTCCTGAAGGTCTCGGATGCTTTAACAAAATAAAACAAGTAGCTAGGCAAAGAAACTGCAAAGCGTAGTTTCTCACTTGAGGCCACGATTTTGTAATTATTCAAGGGGAGCTGCAATTAATTATCAACAGGTACACTTTATCATTTCGTCTTTTGGGAATCTTGATGTTACCCCATTATTTTAAAACAGTTGCAATAAGTGTCAACCGTTCAGACTTTTCAAGGCATACAGTTCCTCTATCTAGATCTACCTACAATTTCCCTGCCACTGCTGGAGAATTTCCTCCATCCTCTACACTGTCAAATAAGAGTATTATTTTTACATTGGTTTCTCCTTACTTGAGTACATTCTTTTGTTCCTGTGTTTTATGCACTTACCCATCCAGCCACAACTGCCTAAACTGCTATCACTCTGAAGTATGTCAAAAATATTCAAATACATTTCAGACACACAGAAATAACCCAACCCTCTGAGAGACTGAAAGGGTTTCTGGGTGTATTAACAGATCAACAAAAGCAATAGCATTGACTGGCACAGGGCCAAGATTTTGCAGGGTATGCAGCAGGAAGGTAAAGCTCCTTAATGTGATCAATTTCCTTCCCTCCTTTTTCCTTTTCATTCCTTCCTCTTCTCTCACTATAACCTTCCTCACCTCCAAGAGAATAAGCACTTAAATAATTAGATTTTTCCCCTACCCCTGAGGACTGCACCTTGAAGCAGCAGGAAAGCTCATACATCCCTATAACCCTTACAGCTATGCCACAAGGAATTTT